CTCCAGCATCGTTGCAGTAGAACGGTTGTGCTACTGGGTAGAAATCCCACACAGCTGCACTTCTATTGCTTCAACACGTAGAGAGGACGGAGCGAGAGCAGCTGTCGGGAAAGAGGCAATAGACGAAACAACGTCATGGATAGCTACAACTCTTTGCTACACTGATGCGGTGACAACTCGTTCAACCTCTGTATGTACTACTGTCTTGAAAGTGCTGAGAGAACTATTTGTCAATCAAGGTCCTCGCAACTTTTGATCTGATTGCTTCTTCCATACTTTGCATTGTTCTTCCACGTAGGAAGGCACTTTCAGGACCTCCTTTGCCTTTTCTGGCGCTTGGACCATCTCCATCGCCAGGCCTGCAGATAGATGCCAGTCCATGTGGCAGTGCATGAACCACGCACCTGGATTGCTCGCGACGAATCGGATCGTTACACTCCCGAATCCATCCACTGCCACCGTGTCCCTTCGAACCGGATTCTCTTGCTCTTCGACTTTGGGAACCTGCGGCTTCTTACCGTCCGTTCCGTATGCCCTGTGAACCACCTGAGACTTGGTCCCGTGCATGTGGAACGGATGCACATCATCCGACAAGTTCAAAATCGTCAGTTCGACCATGCTATTGTATGGTGCAGTCACTGCATTCACGTTGTGTCCATACGTGCCTGCATCCATCGGATTCGTCGTGTTCTTCGCCGTCATGGTCAACATCGTGGGCGTCTTTGGCGCGACATATGTCGTTCCATTGATCAGGCCCATCGGCTTGCCGTGCTTGCGCCCCTCTTTCATCTTGACTTCAAGAGTCACTCGCATGTCAGGCTCTTTCGACTCGATCTTCTCCATTGGCACGAGCTTTGTGTCGTCGAATGGCTTGACGTCCGTGCGGCGATTCTTTTCCCCATCTCCCATCTTGGCATCCTTTTGGCCGTAAGTGAGCGTGCCTGTCAAGTTGAGCTTGAGCGAGCCCACTTTCGGAAACGTGCCGCCCTCCATATTCGCATGGATGCGCCAGTTTTTGTCGGTCTCGTTCCGCGCTTTTACCAGCACACTGTATCGCTGCCCAATCGCCACCTGAACTGACACAATTGGATA